AAAATTAAACATGCTATACAGCAGCTATAACAAAATATTGGTATAGGTACCTACCATATTCGAACCAATAGTGTTGTAAATGCTAACGGATGTCAGAGTATATAATTTGGTTGTGTGGAAAAATGTAAATAACACTTCAACTATATTCCTACTCATTACTCTATATTATACTGAATAAACTAACAGTGCATATTTTATAAACATAGACGATAACACTTTTAAATGTATACATCAACTGCTAGCTGGTAAAGTTAGCTATTATAATATTATAAGTTTAATTATATTGTTAAAAAAAACATCTGATACGGATTTTTAAAAGTTCATTTAATGTCGCTCACCTGTCCATAGCGAAGGAGATCCTTTTGGGTAGCTGTTAATGGTCGGCGACCTCTCTCTTCCAAGACTGTGGTCGCTTCCCGAAGACGAATACAACACCACGCCCGGTTGATTCTGCTGTCGATGTTTGGACGTCTGACTGGGGATTTCCTGAGAAGTAAAAACAAAATGAGCATGTAATATTCAAGTGATAGTGTAGAATGACGGACGATGTGACATTTACCAGAGACAACGACCCGGGCATGTTTTTGACTTATTCGTTAATTTGTATTAATATATATTATGTAGTAAGATTATTATCTGTGTGCGTCACATTGTCGTGATATGAAATCGCGACTAACGCTATCAGCAGCGGTAAGACGAGAGACGCGTGTAATACGTGTTATATATAGTTTCTTGCGCAAATATCACAAAGAAAATGAACCTCTCCCAGTCCGACTGATGTGCAGCTGCAGCAGCTCATATACCGCGGTTCTCGGGTTTGACGATGAGTAGGTTGGTGGTATTACCTACTGTCCACTCTGGTCACACGTATCGTCATATAATAATATAATATGTAGTCGTTACCAAGACTTCCTGAATCGTAAAACGATCGGAAACGTTTCGTATTTAATATTATAGGCGTAAGATGTCCCCATTTGTACCTGCATAATATTTTTTTATATAATTATTAAYACTAAGTACCTAATACGCGTATTATAAATGTGACCGTGAGGTATGCGACGAAATGATATTTTGACGGAAATTCGAATATCATCACGACTAGTTCTCCTCGGCTCAATGTCTGCCGCCGACGAAAATTGGATTCCGTCCATAGATTAATTATGGTTCTCTCACAATCAGTCGTATACAGGTGGTACTCGAAATTAACATAATATATGATATTTTTAATGAATATATTAACGATAATATTAGAAAATAAAAGTCTCTTATACATATGTAATATATTTTTAACGAAGATTTAATATCGCGGCGGTGTTGTTATATTAACACTATACTATATACAGRGTGATTCATGATGCGTAAAACACTCATTATTTATAAAAACTATTTACTTTTTTCAATATTTTTTTTCTTCAAAATTTAAGATCTATGCTTTTCTAAAACTATTATATACATTTTTAATATTTTTCACCCTTATATTTATTAGGTAAACCACTATCAACTTTTGATTTTTAAATGTCTACCTATATTAAAAATATCATCAATTAATAAGGCTATTTTTTTAAATGAATTTTCGCGTTTAAATTTTCATTTTTCGTTTATCCGTTGACGAGATATAGTCACAAAGTTGGATGGTTTTGGGGTGGTAGTGTTTGTGTATAAATGTGTTATACCATGTCAGTACCGCGGCCGCAGCAATTGGGATTTTTGTAGTCTAGCGTAAAACATAATACACTTTTCAAATAAATTCAGTAAGTAAATAGTTAAGTCTAAGTTGTGCCCCAAAATAGGTAAACATATTTACACAGGACAAACGCCACCCCAAAACCATCCAACTTTGGGAGACTATATCTCGTCAACGGATTAACGAAAAATGAAAATTTAAACGTGACAATTTATTAAAAAAACATCCTTATTAATTTATGATATTTTTAATACAGGTTGCCATTTAAAAATCAAAAGTTCGTAGTGGTTTACCTAATAAATATAAGGGTGAAAAATATTAAAA